GTGTGTGTGTGTGTGTGTGTGTGTGTGTGTGTGTGTGTGTGTGTGTGTGTGGTTTGGGGGTGGTGAAGACACAGGGCCCGTGAAGATAAACATTACTTGTTCTGTTATAGCTTGTTCACTTTTTGTCTGAGGTTAAAACAAGATATAAACCAATTGCTCTGTTTAATCATCTCAGGTCTAAAAATTGAATGACTAACAGAATCTAGAAGCCCATTAATGAAGGTCACTACAATTAAAATTCCGACACGTTTTATTTATTGTTAGCCTAAAGTGGATAAACAAAAATAACAGGGGATTTACAGCACTCACCTAAAAAGAAAAAGTCGAACAATTTTCACCAACACCAGACTTAAACGCATGTGTTTGAATTAGGGAATCTACAAGCTTGCACTGAAATAAGTGGACAGGGTAGTGCCGCTGTCTCAAAATGAGCAATTTAAAGGCAAAGTTATTGCAAATCATTTAAGTAGCTCTGTTGATCCTGGGTATGCACCCAAAGGTGGTGTTTAATAGGGGGGGGGGGATACAGAAACTCTTTTTATCATTGGATTAAAATTTGAAAGCATGCTTGTCAAAGTCCAACTGAGATGGGTCGGCTATGTCATCCGCATGGAAGACCACCGAATGCCCGAACAACTGCTGTGCGGCGAACTCGCAAGTGGCAAAAAAAAATCTCGGGAGGCTATAAAAAGCGAACCTCCAGTTTGCATGGGTTACCCCCAAAGAATTCGAAAGAACAGAACTGCCCCCCGAAAGGAACGCCTGGCCCAGGGCCGTCCGTTTTACCAGCAGAAACAGCGATATAAACTACAGGGAGAAGCTGACTATTAGAAGAGAGAGGAGACGTAATCCAACCATCTCAAGCACGACATTCCAGTGTCCCCACTGCAACTGACATTGTTCATCCAAATTCGGATTGCACAGCCACATGCACGTCCACAGATGAGCTGCAGGATTTCATCGTCATCTTCGGCAACGAAGGACTACCTACACACAAGATTTGAACAAACAAAAAAATGATTTGGTCGCTGGCTTACAGTAATACCATGAAAAGTTACGTGCACTGCCAGGCCCGAGAATTGAACAATGGAGCATTTCATAAAGGGAGTGTATACGGACCCGGTAACCGGGAACAAAGTCACGAAGTATACAGACCCGGTAGGGGAACTCTTCTGTGATTTCGGAAAGTTTCAGCGCTGTCTTGGCTCAGGGTGGACCTTGGTTCTTCTAGATATCTATGGCCTAGGTCTAGATCTAGATATAGACAGACAGACATGAGGCCTAGATCTAGATCTAGATCTAAATGAAAATTGCGGATGTCTTTTCAATGAACGATCGTTTTTCCTCCGTATTGGAGTTAAAGGAATCACAATTTGAAGAAAAGAACAATGTCTTAGGTCTAATTTCAATCGAGCAGTCACCCTCTCTGTTTCTCTGCCTTTCTCCCCTCTTTTTCTGCCTCCCCCTCTTTTTCTGCCTGCCC